ATTAGAGTGAGATATAAAGATTGATGGAGATTGAAGTTTGATTGCATTTTTTTTTATGTGTATTTGCCTATTTGCTGATTGGGTCTGGCTAATTTTTTTTTAATGATTCAGAGTATATAGAAGACTAGAAGTATAGAACAAATCTATTTAATTTGATGATTCTATTGTAGTTGAAGTGTGTCCTGATTCTTGAATATCTGAGTATGGAACATATAAGACATAAATGAATTGTGTCCTGAATTATTTCCATTTGGTAATGGAACATCAGTGAGGTATTTAGAATGATTGATTAAATGTTTCTAAACTTAAATTATTAGTTTGTTTATTATTAAGGTTAAGAAAATGGATCCAAACATAACTGGATTATTACTGTTTTGTTGTGATTACTGTTCTTATTACAGTCAAATAATGAATTGGATGAGGCCAATTATTTTTAGATTTTGGGTCTTTACTTTGAAGATTATGACTTTGGGTTGTTGTATGAACTAATATTTGAATGTTGTTTTTTAGATTTAATGTCTAAATTTATGGTNAATTCAATTGGATGAGACCGATTTACTTTGAAGATTATGACTTTAGGTTGTTTGTATGAACTAATATATTAAATGTTTTTTAGATTTAATGTCCAAGTTTATGATTTAAGACTATTTCAATTATTTGTTTACTTGCATGGTTATATATATTATTATTATTTTTGGTATTAAAAGTGAACTGCTCGAATAGCTTTCGCAATGCGCTACGCTATTTACGCTACGCAATTTAAGGACCAAAATGAGACGCGATGCGCGATGCGCATTTTAAAACACTCGAATTAGCTATGGGGTTCATACTCAACATGCTTTTCTTAGAGTCTGGTCGATTGTCTCAATCTCACTGTTAAAAAAATTTCGTTTCCTTTTACTCACAGGTAAAGCAAGGACCATCAAATGTCGAGCTATCTGTGGAGGAAATATGCACTATACGTGACCACCAAGTGGGAGAGGACCCTTCTGTGGGACATGATCGAGCCCTACAGGCGGCCTAAGTCTTTTACGCCTCTTGTCACCATTTATATCTGTGCTTTTTACACAGGGGTCATTGGTGCTGCAATCACTGAGCAACTCTACAAGGTGAAGCTGCAGCTTTTTGTCCGATTTTTCAGAAAAAAATTAGAACTTGATATTTACATGGATATATTACTGGCTTTACTATCTAAACTTCGAATTTCTAATTATGTATGCTTCTACAGTTCATAAAGGGTGTTGCTTGTGTAGTAAGGAATATTTGAGAATTTTTGAATCTTTTTAGGATGTTGTGCTTTCGTCATTATTAGAATGTTGGAAATTAGACTGGCATACTGTCATTTTGTATGCATTGTCTTGCGAATGACGCTTTTCTTGATTTATGTTGGCAAAGTTTTATGTTTCATTACTATGTTTGGTATTTGTTACGTAAGTAGTATTAAGGCATAATTACTCCATACCACTACAAGTTTACCGAGAACCCATAATGATTGGCTGATCAGCACAAAGTGCATGAGTAATATCATGGTTGATCAGAAAAGCCTTTCTCTTAATTCATCCAGCATTGACAAAAGCTGAGAGAGTTTCTTGTGTAGTAAATAAATATGTTCTGCAACTCGTTTTACTAGCTGATATGTTTTAGTTATTTCCTTCTGTCTGCCTTGGTTTTTATTCAGGAGAAATATTGGGAAGATCACCCTGGACATGAAGTTCCAATAATGAAGCCAATGTTTTATAGTGGGCCCTGGCGTATTATGAGAGGTGAAGTTCCTCGTTATTTGGAGGAGCCGCCAAAGCAGACGCCATCGTAGCCTTTTTTGTGTGCTTGTGAAATGAGGGATTTTGTTAATGTTGAACGGACAATGTACTCCTTGGTTTAATTGTAATGTTATTCATGATCTGTATCCTATTTGTGCTCATCAACGTCGAGCAAGTTGAGGATAGCACATTGATCAATGTTCATATTTTCACACAAATTGAACTGTCTTTCGGATTTCAATGATTTTGAGAGGATGAACTTATTAATTAGGGTGGCGAAGCCTCTAACATGGCTCTCTGTTCTTGTATTTTCTACTCGTTCGCAGTTAACTTGGCTCAATCACCACCTTGACAAGATATGGCCTTATGTCGACGAGGGTGGCACTTGGCACCTTAAACTCTCCTGATGTCATCATGATTGTTATTTCCTTTTTGCACTTCGGTTTTTCTTCTTTTGGGACTTGTTTCTGTTGTTAGGCAGCATCAGAGGCTATAAGAAGCTCTGTAGAACCAATTCTTAAGCAATACCGTCCAGCAATTTTGGCATCTCTAAAGTTCTCTAAGTTGACTCTTGGTACTGTGCCACCTCAGTTCACAGGTTGGTTCAGTTCCTTCTTCTTTGCCTAGCAAAAGTCTGCTTCCTTGTCCTGCTTTTCCAGAAAGAATAGCTTAGATGGGTTGGATAAGAAAATGGTGAACTAGGATGTCATGTGGAGATATTTACTCTCCAGTTGTGTAATCTGTGTTATTTTTGTGGACGGAATCATATAATCATGATAATCCACTGCATTTTTTATTTTTATGTTAAGAGTTTTGCAAATGATGCTATCCAACTTAAGCAATGGGTCCTAAGGGAGCTTACAATTCATTTATCTTTATTCTGGTCTCTCTCTCTTTAAGGAGTTTCCATCATCGAGGGTGAATCTGACGAGATAATTATGGAATTGGACTTGCAGTGGGATGGAAATCCTAAAATTGTACTTGATATAAAGACTAGACTTGGTGTAACTCTACCAATACAGGTATTAGCAAACTTTTACCAGGAACATTACGGTGCTGTCGCTTTATCCTGTTTCTGATTTCTGTTGACGTGGAAGAAGAGAAACTTATCTATCCACACATTTTTTCCTCACTCGATGTCCCTTCACAACTCAAGGACTAGATCTATTTCTAAATGTTTTCTCTGCCTGCAGGTAAAAAATATTGGATTTACTGGGGTTTTTAGGATAATATTCAAACCATTAGTTGACGAGTTTCCCTGTTTTGGAGCTCTTTGTTATTCATTGAGAGAGAAGGTACATGTCATGTTCACTGTTTGATAAACATGGTGTCCGAACTGATGGTGTCTTGAGTTTCTAGGTGTGTGTTAACAAGTGTTTGAAAATGGGCTCTCATATTGCAACGTTTTCCAACTGGAATGCACAATATTTTCATAGTAACTTCATTTGAGTTTCACATATCATGTTTTTGCCTGCAGAAAAATCTCGACTTTAGCCTCAAAGTGATTGGCGGTGATATATCAGCAATTCCAGGAGTATCTGATGCTCTTGAGGTCTGTTAATTTTCTCATTATGACTCGCCATGTGGTGTATTCGAACTTGATAGGATTGATGAGAATGTCATTGATTTATCTTGTCTTTCACTCGTAGGAAACAATACGAGATGCTATTGAAGATTCTATCACTTGGCCAGTACGTAAAATCATACCCATATTACCAGGAGATTACAGGTTAACTATCTCTTTGCCCTGTAGTCAAACTAACAGCATGTCATTGCTCGAATTATGTGAACTTAGAAGAGTTTTTTGGTATCTCTTACTTGTTACAGTTACCTAGAGTTAAAGCCAGTGGGGACTTTGAATGTGAAGCTCATTGAAGCAAAGGAATTAACAAATAAGGACATAATTGGAAAATCTGATCCATTTGCCGAGCTATTCGTCCGTCCCCTACGTGACCGGATAAAAACTAGCAAAACAATAGTAAAGAACCTCTGTCTTTTATGTGCTTTATTGTATCATACTTTTCAGTTATTAGTAGAACTGCACATTATATGTCGCAGAACAATCAAACAAGTCCAATCTGGAACGAGCACTTTGAGTTTGTTGTGGAGGATGTAGCCACCCAACATTTGACCATAAGAGTTTATGATGATGAAGGAATTCAAGCTTCTGAACTAATTAGTTGTGCTCAATTACCACTAGGCGAGCTTGAGGCTGGTAAAGTTAAAGATGTGTGGTTGAAACTGGTGAAGGATCTTGAGATCCAGAAAGACCAGAAAAACCGTGGTCAGGTGAGATGACCAAACTTATATCCCCACTCAGTTTCTTAAATTTATGTCTTTTTTTTTTTTAAAAAAAAAAGACTAGAAGTAATGAAATAAAATTACATTATGAAGTGTACATATTATCAGTGTACATTATCACGATATGCTTTTCTTTGTTTTAGAATTATGCATTTATTACTAAAAGCATGTTATGAAGTGTGTAGTATCTTCTCTTGTTATCAGTTTTTTATTGAGCATCTGTTGAAAGTTGTGCATATTACCTGGTTTGATTTACTGATTTACACCTATCTTTGATTTATTGTAGGTGCACTTGGAGCTCCTGTACTGCCCTCTGAATGCTGAGAGCGAATTTTTAAATCCTTTTTACCCTGACTTCAGATTAACGACGGTGGAGAAGGCCTTCAAAGAAGCACTTGATGGGGCAGATTCCCTGAAATCAACGAGAGTAAAAAGGGATGTTATTATAAGAGGAGTTCTATCAGCGACGGTCATATCTGCAGAGAACTTGCCAGCTAAAGATATCTTGGGAAAATCTGATCCTTTTGTGGTGCTAAGAATGAAGAAGTCTGAACAGACCTACAAGACTAGGGTAAGTATATTAATTAATCTTCTAAGATGATCAAATTGTGTAAATCCAACTGATTCGCTCTAATATATAAATCCTTCTGTTGGCTTTATCTCTAAATGCCCTTTTATCAGGTCCTCAACGATACCTTGAATCCAGTTTGGAATCAGACCTTCGATTTTGTAGTTGAGGATGGGTTACATGAGTTGCTAATCCTTGAAGTTTATGACCATGACACAAAGAAGTTGTGAAGTTAGTTAATATTTCTCGTGCTTCATTTTAAAATTTCCTCGCCTCTCACTCATGTATTTTCAGGAGAAAATGGGTAGATGCATCATGACTCTGACGAGAGCCATATTGGAGGGAGAATTTACAATTAGTTTCCTTAATGATGGTACCGATTCAGGAAGGTTGAATTTGAGCATCAAGTGGACTCGACAACAATCAGTCGAGATTGATCGAGGTCTGATCTAGTCAGCAAGAGACTACTTCCCATGCTTATGTTCTTCCTGATGCTCAAAGTAAGAGTGACGATGAAAAGGCCCATCGCTGGTTAAGTTGGCCGAGAACCAAACAACAAAAATATATGTCTTGTTATCATGTCGATATTNAAATGTCTTGTTATCATGTAGATATTATATATATGTATGTGTGCATGCAAGTATATAGGGGAATGTTGCAATATATGCTGGTGTGGATGATGAGAAGAGTGGAGTTGTGTGAAATGGAACTTAATTTTGATATAAACATGAATTCATTTTAAGTTGTCTAATTAAGAGGGGAATTGATGGCTATTCTTGTTAACAAGTCAAACAATTGAAACAACAATGCCATCTGCTTGAAATGTTGTGTTGCATACAGAGAGGTTAAATCCATGGTTGTAGATTAGTAGATTTCTTATAACTCTTCCTTTGTAATAGATTTCTTTTATCTCTTCCTCTACAAAGAACTCAATCAATCCATGAATATGATTTTGATGAAAATTTGATAATTAGCTTTATGCCCAGTGAACCTGATTATAGAAGTCCATTTACTTTGCATACAAGATCCACCTACCATAGCCTTTTGAATTGAAACAGGCACAAAGTACTATCTACACATAATTTTCAAAGTACAAATACATGAAGAAGTATCTGGGATTAACAAAAATCTGGATTAAGAAGGGACCATGCATGAGTTTGAAACTTGAAAACTATTTCTTCATCTTATGCTCACGACCTTCCGACAATTTTTTATTAGCTTTACTATGATGCTCTTTGGCATACGCACGATGCAGCCTCTCTCTTCCATATATGACCCACAATACTAAAGACAACATAACTGCTATTGCAACCATGAGCAGCCCATCATAGACTCGCTGGCTGTGCTTTCATAGGCCCGAACATTACTCAACTTGGACATCCGAGAATGTTTGCTGGACAAAGGTGCAATCTTGTAGGCCAACAAGGAATGGGCCATATTGATACAAGCCGTAGCTCAGATTGACAGTGGCTGCCATCTGACCATAGAGGCTTGGATTCAAACGTCTTGTGGTCATACAAATGCCGTTTGGTGATGCCTGGCACACATACCCACTCCAAACCTGCATCAACCCGACCCAAGTCACGCACATCAAAATCATAAATTGTTACTATATATATAATTTATATATAATATATATATATATATATATAAATTCACCTGGGTGGCATTGTTGAGATCCACCTCGCCAGGGCTACATGCTCCCTCGGTTAGGTCATAATTAAGCGGGTTGCAGAGGGTTGGCAGAAGCGGACCCGATTGGTTGTAGTATAAATTCACAAAGTTGGGAGCAAAATTGATGTTGGAGACATTAGTGATAACCGTATTAATCAAATTGACTAACTGAGATGTTACTTCTTTGCTTCTGTTCAACATGTCCTCAGCAGTGCTTTTATCCACGCACGCCAGTATATCGTCTAGAGCTGTTTGAGCTGTCGGGTTTTGGACCCACTGATTCATTGCTACGCAGGTGTCTCCCGTCACACTAAATGTCATCAACCAATCAGGACTGTCAGATGGATATTTTAACTAGTGCTCACAATCATGTGATAATAATATAAATTCTTCGTATAGCTTAACATACTTGTGGAGAAGAAGAAAAATGCCACAGAGTATGAATGTTCCAGTCACAAGAATCCATCCAGTAATCACCAAGCTGCATCCATAATTCAATTCATATTGACTTTAAAAAAAAATCTTTCTTCTTTATTTTTGAGTGTGAGTATGAAGCAGTTGTAAACCACTCTACTAGTCACTCACATGTACACAGGTATCTGCATGCCAAACATTGAAAAAGCTGAAAAAGAAAAGGAAAGTGAACAGAATAAAATAATATTACCAGGAGTAAGTTGTGTAAAGGAAAGAAGAATAGGCATACCGAATCCCAGAAAAGTGAGAATAAGCATAGTAGCAAAGAGTATGATAAGAGCCAATCTCCTGCAAGATCAAATTTATTGTATCACTTATTTCAACAACACTACTTATTTTGGGGCGTCTGCTTACACTGATTCTATCAGGTTCTTTATTTTTTTGGAAATGTCGTGCGTTTGTTCGGATAGAGTACGAGCTGCAGAGTCGACATTGGTTTGGATCTGATCAATATCTGTTTGGACAGTTGGAGGCAGAGACACTTGACCAACCATATTAATCTGCTTGGCCTCCGACAAATATTGCGACACATTCCTAAGATTGTCGGATATGCCATCTGCCTGATGGACCACATATTCCAAAGTGCTGCTTGTACTGCTATGAAATTTGTCTTGCCCGACGTACAACACAACACATCCAATCCTGAAAAACAAACAAGGTATGTAAATATTTTTTTGCTACTAATAATACACCATTATGTGTTTGTGGGAGAGAGAGAGAGAGAGAGAGAGAGAGAGAGAGAGAGAGTGAGGTGTACATTGCAATGACGGTAAAGAGAAGGAGGAAAATGAGAGAGAGCGCATAAGCAATCCCGGAATACCCATATGGCTCCTATCGACAGCAGCAGTAGCAGAGGCAGATGAGAGACAAGCAAAGCCCAAATGAGACGAACCAGATTAAGGCAATAACGAAAAAAGGAACTGTTGTGTAGCCGACAGACTGCAATGCAACGGTAAAATAAGAAACCTGTCAAACTATAAAACATACATCAAACACTCGTGAGTATCAACCACTAATGCCAGCCAAAAGAAACTCAACTAATATAGATAATGGAGAAAAAAGTGAAATGTGCAATTTGTTGGACCAAAAAAGCATTTGGTCTCATTTCTGTTCATTATGGCCCTGCTATGCTATTCTGATGTTTAGCCTTTTGACGCTCAAAGCAGATGAATGTACATAAAACATAATCCTTTTAGTAAGCAAAGCAGAAGGAGAAGAATTAAGAGTGTTAAGAAAAAAAGACTTACAGCCCAATAATGGCGGTTGCTAATGTTCCAGCCTCCGGTGTACCTTGTAAAGCCGTTGAGAGGGTCTTTACGGTAAGTCCTCCTTGGAGCTAACACAAGCACTGCTTGTTGCTCGTACGACCAATATCTTGGTAATGATTGGCGCTGATCAGACACGCTATCTATCTTCTCGCTCGGTCTTCCTACCTGTCTGGCCCATTTTACAGCCTTTCTCTTCACGATCCCGGATAGATTTTAATTGTTAATTTAATTTTCCTGACCGTTCGGTCTCTACCCCGTACACACGCGCATGCACATAATTGTTTTTTTTCTTTGTAAAATATTGCTCACCCTATAAACACGCGATCGCAACACAATTTTTTTTTTTTTTTTTTTTTGCACAAAATTAAAATTAGTCATATCCATCTAAACCTGCTCAGATAGCGAGACCAGCTAACTAACATACCATTCCAGCTATGTTCGTTCCGCTTTTGTCATGTTTTTCTTGTTTATTTTATGCTTATTTTTCCCCTCCTTAGGTATTTTTCTTTGGTTTTTGGTCCGTTTGGAGTCGTTTCATGCATTTCTTTTGTTTTAGTCGTTTGTTGGTCTTTTTGTTCGTTTTTCCCGGTTTTCTGTGTTTTTTGTCGGTGGTGATGTGCAGGTTTGTTGGCTCGGTGCATGGCCATGCGAGGTTCATCGTCTAGATGGATGAGTTGGAGTTGTATTGGAGAAGACGGGATTAAATTCCGAATCCGGATGCGAGAACACGAACCCAAAAATTTGTCGTGCAGAAAACGCTCGCCGCAGCCGCGGAAGAGGAGAAGTCGCGGCCACGAGATGTCCAAAAATTCGGTTTTCTAGCCCATCGAGCTCGCGGCCTCGGGGACGGTCGCGGCCGCGAGATTTTCTTCGCCGCGGCCGCGGGGGTCGCGACAGCAGTTTTTTTTATTTTTGCGACTTTGTTCAGTTTTTGGACGGATTCCTTTCACCTAGGTTTTGAACGGCTCTCGTTTTTTTTCACTCCAGAACAGATTTTTCTCTTAGTTTGATTAGGATTTGATCTTGGATTGTGAAAACACCAAGATTAAGCTTTTGGATTTGGATTGCTCGTGTTTCTTTCACATTGGATTCGTATTTATCGTAAGCTTTCTTTTACATTTCATTGATGAATGTTATGGCTTTGTTTGATATGAATGTTTGTGTTGGAATCACTATGAGTAGCTAAATTCCCTAGCTAGGGTTAGGGGACTGTCGTTCCGGTTCGATCTCGTTTACATGCTTGATAATTACTCCATCTTTTCGAGTTGTGCTTAACATAGGGTTAGATGTTTGATCTCCATCTCAATCTAATTAATTGATTTCAAAACTGAAAGGGGAGAAATCGATTGATCTAGGCTCGTTTAGAATAGGCTTGTTCGGTGACGTATTGTCTATCTGCTGATTGGTTCGATAAGTGCTCGTTTATATTTATTCTCTTGTTTCGTGAGATATTGAGAATGAATCTCTAAATGGTTAGTTTTTCGAGTCCTTCGGCCGAGTAATTGATTGCCCATTAAATGTTTTGAGAACCGGAAGCGATTATCCCCGAAACCCTAGCCTCTTTATTACTTTTTGGATTTGTGCTTGGAGTTGTGAGATTTGAATAGTTAGGATTATCTTTATAATTCGTAGTAGATAAATCAAACTAAATTAATCTGATTAGAATGTTTAGGATTTAATTTCTCTTTTTGTGATTGAATATTCGTACGAAGTAATCCGGCTGACCTTCCTTGAGATACGACCCGGTGTTCGAATCTTTCGATTCTGCTCCGGTAAAAATAACTACAACACAATGGCGCCATTGCCGGGGAAGGTTTAGGACTTATTTTGTCAGCATTTTCATCATGTTTTTAGTGTTCCTCTTATTTCTTGTGATTTTTCTTGTTTCC